CTGAAGATGCTTATAATAAATAATTAATTTTCTTGTTACTAATATTCAGTCATTATATATATATATATATATAGAAATGTGTATTTTGATATATTTCATATTTTTTGTTGTAGTTACAAGGTTGGTCAAATAGATTTAGCTTGTGTAGTGTTAAGGTAAAGAAACTTTTAAAAAGTAAATTCAGAGACAAGTCTTTAGCAAAAATACTTTATTGTAGGATACTTTCCATCTTAAAGAATCATGTATGCTAATTTTATCTATATGAAAAAAGTACATTAACATCAGCAGGCAACATTTCAGTTGGAGTCAAAAATCTGAAAATTTACCATCAAATCAATAGAATTTAAAAATATTTAATGAAAAATAATAAAAAATTGTTAATGATGTATTGTCAATTCATAGTAATATACAAGACAGTGGAAAAAATAACTTTCCAAAATTTGCATGTTTGTAGCAATGGTTGCAATTTTCTCTATATATTTAAAGTGTAAAGTCACAGAAACCAAATACTGTGGTGAGGAGTAATTTAGTAGTCCTAAGTGAATACATGCAGATAAAGCTTTTTATTTGTTACTGTTCTGAGACAGCAAAGTATCAAAAGAAAAAAAAAAATGTATAAGCATATGTCCAATGCAGAGAATTGCTCTAATCACATTGATGCATTTATTTGTACAAAGTAGAGTTGTAAGAAACCTTGTAGAAAACTTTAGAATAACAGTTTAACAAAACCTTTTTGGCATATTACACAACGGTATCACAACAATAAAAAATAAGTTATGAAATTATAGATTATATATAAGTCTTTGTAGCACGTTAATTAAAATAAATATAACTATAAAAATGCCAGAACAAAATAATTCATTGGAAAAACTAGCAATGTTTACATATCCATATATTTTACAGATTGCATTCATGAAACATCAGGGACAACAGACAATTTTGGGAAATCCTCTACGTTGGACAAGTATCACATTTCTTGGTCATTTTTCACAGTCTTGCCTCAGTCAAAAAGTGACTTGGCTAATCTCACACAGTTTGGCACCACTGCCTCTAGTCTAGTTAAACGTGTTACCAGTGCCAAGTCTGCCTCCAGTGTAGCTTTTTTCTCTCCACTTACATTTAAGACAAGGTCTGACTTTAAGAGGACAAAAAAACAAATCAGATGGAAATATCCATAAACTACTACTTATTGAAAAGGTAACAGGTGCCAACCTTGTTGAATGGATGAATTGGAGAGAAAATGTTTATACTAGTTCTCAGATTCAAATTAGTAAAGGTAATATGTCTTCAAATGTTATAGGATAATATCAAAGAAATTCAGAATTCCCAGTTTCTTACAGTAATGACAATTCATTCTTGTCACACCAAATGATAATATTGACTTCTTGTTGGTTGGACAAATCAGTGGTTTCAAGAAAAGTTCTTGGGGCTATACCATGTTTCTTCACTTGGTGCTGCTTCGACTGAAATTGTCAAATAAACTTATGTACTGAGAAGCTAAGGGGTCAATGCTATAATTAGGTAAGTATTATGAATGCCAGAAGAATCGGTGACCTTGAAATGAAGGCAATTTTGACTCAAGTGATATTCTGAAGCATTCATAAGAAATGAAGAATGCAACTCATGATAGTTGTAACTTGAATTCCCTCCACATAAAAAAGACATTTTTTTGCAGCTTGAAGGAGATCTTAGCAATGCATAACACTCTTGGCACAAGAGTTCTATATCCCACTAAAGGGCCTGTGAAAGTAAATTCACTTCAAAGTATAACCACTAATTATGAAACCTTTCAGAACACTTGGGAAAAAGTCCTAGATGTCATACTTGATGCTAATACAAATGCCAGGATACAAAGCATATTGACACAAATGAATTTTTTCGGGACAATGATCAATACATACCTACAACTTGGATCAAACCATACAACACAAGTCAATACCAACAAAAGAGGATCATCTATCAATATCTGACCATACAACACAAGTCAATATCAACAAAAGAGGATCACCTTTCAATATCTGACTTTTTTCTGGGTAAAATTTATTGATGAACTGCAGATTTCTTGTCACTGAAAATTATCAACAGGCAATGGTAGTTTATCAATAAGGCATCTCAACAAAACTTAAAAGAGTATTTAAACAAAATTATAATGAAGCCATCAACATGACGTCAATCACATCCAAGACTGCTTTGACAAGTGTGAATATAGAATTTACAAGTGTTTGCACCAGCTTTTAGGGAAAGAATGCAGGAAAGATCAAATGGACAAAGGATTGCAATCCCTATGCAGATTCTATGAGGATGATTTTGATCAAAACCTTCTCTGTTCACTGCTAATAACATTTGAGTTACCTTTCCAGAAGGTGACAGAAGGCCAAAGGGAGACAAGCAACAGGTACCCAACCGTATTTGACATGAAGCACCATCTAATGGTTTCACTGGGTTCAAGGATTCTGTTGCCACAAGTGAGAACACTACCACATTTTCTTTTTAGTCATACCTGCTAATAATTCAGTGCCCTTAGGCAAGAAAATAACTTCCTTCAGAATATGTCTTATGCACATTTTAATCACATAATGGTCCCCTACATGCACAAGGAGAGAACTGAATTTCAACACAATTTTGAATGAAGTCATGGAAAATTAAGAGTATTAACTGAGGATATTTGCAAAATGCTGTTAAACTGTGAACTTCTAACTAAATTAAACATTCTTTTGCACTGTAGATACTTGTCATATTGCTAATAATATACATATATATATATATATATATATATATTGTATTAAAGGTAAATTGCTATTTTGATTAGTAAATAACCAAAGATTAGAAAATTTAACTATATAATGTTACAAATAAGAAGAAAAAAGCCTTTCATTATTACATTATATTCTGAGAAAATATGT